TCCCACTTATGACTGTATGACTGTAACCTTGTTGCTGGTATCCTTACGTTTTTTATTGATATTGTTTCTTGATTGTTTATTTGTACCCTATGACTATCATTAAGTGTTGTACCTTATGATTCTTGATGAACGTATCCTTTCTTTTATGTACACTGAGAGCATATGCACCAAGACAAATTCCTTGTGTGTCCAATCACACTTGGCCAATAAAAAAATCTATTCTATTCTATTAAATTATCAATGAAGTTAATTTTCAGCAACATTAAATTGGCCCTGCCTGATCCAGAGAAACATTCTTGCCAGCAATCCCAAAGTTGTGATCTTGTGTATGAGTCTCTAATCAAGAACTACTTTCTAGGGCAGGGGTGGCCAACCCCTTTACAATCTGTGAAACATGTTGGCTTAGGAATTCTGGGAGGTGAATTTAATCACTGTGAACAAAATCTATTTCTATAAAGATAAATAGGGTATCAAAGTTTCTGGGCATATACTGAGATTCTAAGTAAAAGCATTGTAATTCTAGAGAAATGAACATACTTTCTATTATCCAGTACCACCATTATTTCTAGAATCACAAAGACTTGCAATTTGATAGATTTTCAGGTTCCATGAACTGGGGGAAAATCTTTTATTTCTTAGGTTGTATTAATTTGCAGATAGTCATTGAAACCATGAAAGGGTTTTTTAATTAGGGTTTTTAATAATCTTTTAAGAGGAATTGGGAGGACGACCAAGGGGGATGGGGGGGGTAATCCACCAAGGTCGGAGCCGAGCCCGGCACGGGGTAACGGTTTGGAGGGTGCAGGATGAGGGGAGGTGATGGAGGGCCATCCTAATGAGGGATGTACTATCAGCATGGTGGATGGGAGGGGCAGATATGGCAGGAGCAGGGGGCCATATCATGTGTCGGGGGTGCACACTCGCTGTTTGAGAGCAATTGCGCACCCCGGTCCCCAATGCTCCTCTTGGGTACTAGGCTGCACAGATACCCAGGACCTGGGCCTTCGGCTGATGCTATGCAACGCCAGGTCCATGGTAAATAAGGCCCCCCTCATCTACGATCTTATACAGGAGGGGGGAGCGGACCTGGCGGGTATTACGGAGACCTGGTTGGGCCCGGAGGGAGGGGTTCCTCTGGTTGAGATGTGCCCACCAGGCTTCAGAGCATTCCATCAGCCGAGGGCCCAGGGCAGGGGCGGGGGGGTGGCGGTTATTATTAAAAAGGTCTTGGTCCGAGGGAGACCACTGTGCCACAGATTGCCGGGTGTGAGTCCCTCTTTGTGAGGTGAGGTCAGGGGGTTCAGATGGGCTTGTTGCTAACGTATCTGGCTCCCTGCCGTGTGGCAACGGCCCTACCTGAGCTACTCGACGTGATAGCCACGGTGGCAGTTGATACACCCAGGCTTATGGTCATGGGTGATTTCAACTTGCCATCCGTTAGTGAAATGTCTGAGATGGCCCGGGAGTTGATGGCTTCCATGACGGCCATGGACCTGACCCAGTTAGTTCATGGCCCCACTCACATGGGGGGACACACTCTGGACTTGATTTTTGTCTCTGGCCAGTGGTTAGGTGGTCTTCTTATAGGGGATGTAGAGATGGAACCCTTGTCATGGACAGATCACTCGCTCCTTCGCCTGGACCTTCAAACTGCTGCACCCCGCCGCAGGGAGGCGGAACCAATAGGTGGGTCCTCCCCAGGTGCCTGATGGATCCTGATAGGTTCCAGATGGAGCTTGGGCCATTTCCTGAGGACCTGGCACATGACTCGGCCAAAGACCTGGTATCTGCCTGGGATCGGGCGGCTGGTGGGGCTTTAGATCGAGTTGTGCCTTTGCAGCCTCTGACCTGGTGCCGATCCCATGGGACTCCATGGTTTACCGAGGAGCTGAGGGAGATGAAGTGCCGGAAAAGATGCCTAGAGAGCGGTTGGAGGGGCAGTCTCGCTGAATCTGACTGAACACTGGTAAGGTCGCATATTAAGACCTACCTAGTTGCGATAAAGGTGGCAAAGTTTAATTACTTTTCCGCTCTTATTGCGTCATCAGATGATCGTCCGGCCACCCCGTTCAGGGTGACCCGCTCCCTGTTACATCGGGGAGTGCGGGAGGACCCCTTGAAAGGCAGGGCCGAGGATTTTGGACAATATCTGTATGACAAAATTGCACAGATTCGGGGGGATTTGGACTCTGACTGGGTAGATTCGGGCAGGGTGGCGAGGAATAGTCTTGAGAATGTTATCTGGGAAGAGTTTGACTCTATGACCCCTGATGACGTGGACAGGATTTTGGGGAGACTTAGTGCGGCCACATGTTTGCTGGACCCGTGTCCCTCCTGGTTAGTACTGGCTTCCCGGGAGGTTACACAAGGCTGGCTCCAGGGAATTATCAATGCTTCATTGAGTGAGGGTTACTTCCCCATGGCCTTGAAAGAGGCAGTGGTGAGGCCTCTCCTCAGGAAGCCTTCCCTGGACCCGGCAGTATTAGCCAACTACCGTCCCGTCTCCAACCTTTGCTTTGTGGCGAAGGTTGTTGAGAGTGTGGTTGCACGACAATTTCCACAATACCTGGAGGAAACATCTTATCTAGATCCATTCCAGTCAGGTTTCAGACCCGGGTACAGCATGGAAACGGCATTGGTCGCATTGGTAGATGATTTCTGGAGGGCTCGGGACAGGGGTTGCTCCTCTGTTCTGGTCTTGTTAGACCTCTCAGCGGCTTTTGATACCATCGATCATGGTATCATGCTGCGCCGGTTGGAAGAGTTGGGGATGGAGGGCACCGTGTTACGGTGGTTCTCCTCCTTTCTCTCGGACCAGTCGCAGTTTGTGTTGGCAGGGGGGCAGAGACCGACCTCGAGACGCCTAATATGTGGGGTGCCTCAGGGGTTGGTTCTCTCATCCCTTTTGTTCAACATCTATGTGAAGCCGCTGGGTGAGATTATCCGTGGCTTTGGGGTGAAGTACCACCAGTATGCTGATGACACCCAGCTGTACATCTCCACCCCGGGCCACCCCAATGATGCCCTTGCAGTGATGTCCTGGTGCCTGGAGGCAGTGCGGATCTGGATGGGGAGGAACAGGCTCAGACTCAACCATCCAAGACTGAGTGGCTGTGGTTTCCGGCATCCCGATATAGTCAGTTGACACCATCACTGACTATTGAGGGCTCGCAATTTGGGCATCCTCCTGGATACGCAGCTGTCCTTGGAGGAACATCTGACGGCTGTAGCCAGGGGGACTTTTTATCAGGTTCGCCTGATCTGCCAGTTGCGGCCCTTCCTAGATCGGAATTCCTTGTGAACAGTCACACATGCCCTCGTCACCTCTTGCCTGGATTACGGCAATGCTCTTTACATGGGGCTCCCCTTGAAGAGCACCTGGAGGCTCCAACTGGTCCAGAATGCGGCCGCACGGGCAGTTATGAGAGCTGCATGGCGCTTCCACATAACACCTCCCCTGCCTGAGCTGCACTGGCTTCCAATGGTCTTCCGGGTGTGCTTCAAGGTGTTGGTTATCACCTTTAAAGCACTCCATGGCATAGGATCTGGATATCTTTGAGACCGCCTGCTGCTACCAATGGCCTCCCACCGACGTGTGTGCTCCCACAGAGAGGGCCTCCTCAGGGTGCCATCAGCCAAGCAATGTAGACTGGTGGCCCCCAGGGGGAGGGCCTTTTCTTTGGGGGCACCTGCCCTCTGGAATCAACTGCCCCCCGGAGATACAAAGAATTCAAGACCTCGGTGCCTTCCGCCGTGCCCTGAAGATCTATCTTTTTCAGCAAGCCGGGCTGGCTTAACACATTTTTAAATGTTTTTAATAGGTTTGTTATTGTTCTTTTAATTCTGGGGCCAAACACATATATATTTTTTTAACTGTATTTTAATGTTTGTATCTATGTTTTTTACTTTGGCTGTGCACCGCCCTGAGTCCTTCGGGAGAAGAGCGGTATATAAATTTTATAATAAATAAATAAATAAATAAATAAATAAATAAATAAATAAAAAGCTCTTTGACTAAGCCAGGAATGTCCTGGGGAAAACAATAATGTTCTATTATCTGAATGAAAGGCGTTCAAGATCACTGTTGCATGCAATATGTATGAAATAATAATTATAATAATAATACTCTTCAATAAAATTCATTTACAGCAGAATGTATTTTATTTCCTGGTTTATATTGTAACGAATTTAGAGAGGAGGGGGAAAAGTTCAGGATTAATTATACATAATTTGTTCTATATGCCAAGAAGAGAACAAGCTGTGCCACTTCTCCTGGCATAAGATTTTATTTATTTGTTTGATATAGATTCAGTTTTGTTTCCTGCAGGAATTTCCCTTCATTTTATCCAGATAATAGCAATTTTCTCAGGTAGGTTGTTCTGAGAGACAGTAGCTGGTCCAAAGCCACCAACATAAGGACAGATTTTAACCTAGCTCTCCTGAATCATACACCTGTGACTTAGTTTTCAATCCCCACAAAATATTTTCCTCCCTTTGATTAAAAACACATGCTATTACTCTATGTATAATAGCACAATATTATTAGCCTGCAAATCACCAGCTTCCTTACATGACCTCACAATTGCCAATTCAACCATTTATATTCAAGACATCATGCTTATTGCATAAGGTTAAAAGGTGATGTGAATCTATAGCAAAATACAAGGCAATTTCAGCTTCTCATAGCTGGAAAAGAAAGAATTTTGATGGGGGGGGGGAAGAGTACATTTAGACATAAGAGGACAGATTTCTTATTGGATCTTATTAGTGAACCTATAGTTCAATACTGTCATCAGGGTCAAGATTTTTTAAAATACTACTTAATACACAGCAAAGATACCAAGCATGCTTGTCAATATGCATATGATATTTTTGCTATTTCATAATATATGCCACCACTCGGATAGACATGAGACAGGGAGACTTATGCTACAAATCCATATTATAATTTCTCTGCTAAAGAAATTACATCATTTGCCTCCTAAAGGATTCACACTTACCGATAAATTAGAACTTCATCATCAGAGCAGTTATATTGTAGCTGGTACATTTTAACTCTTGGTGCTGACTTGCTTACTGTCCATTTGACTAAAGCTGAAGTAGTTGTCACCTCAGAAACCAAGACTGCCCTATCTGGTGGCCCCTTGCTTTCTCCTCGATTAGATTTGCTGGAACTTGTGATGTCAGAAAGTCTTGATTTAGGAGGGGCTGTCCGGCCTGTACCATTACTGAGATGTGGAAGCTGAATAATGGATAACTCAATTGTTGCAGTAGACTCTCCAGCAGCATTTGCTGCTATGCATGTGAATATTCCAAAATCCTTTGAGGTTGTGATAAGGATTTCCAAAGTGCCATTGTCATAAACTATTGTTCTTGAAGAATTGCCCATAAGTCGATCATCTGGTGCCACCCAATGAATGATGGGAGAGGGATCTCCAATAGCTTTGCACTTTAAAGTGGCAGTTTGTCCTTCTAAAACTAAAAATCTGTGAGTATGCTGAGTAATTAGAGGGGGCTCACAAACAAATTCCTCTTCCCGGACATACCAAAAATATCTTCCCTTTAAACCTGGAGGAGAAGCACAAGTCTCCATATCGTCGTCCCTGTCCAGACGCCGTAGCCACAGTAGCTCACAGTTACAATGCAAAGGGTTTCCACCAAAGCTTAGAGATAAAGGTGGGGAAAATGGAGTTGTAGTTAATGGAGATATTTGAGACCGGGCAAAAATGGGATCAGGAGGAAGCTTCTGAAGTCTGTTGGAAGTTAGATCCAACCTGGCTAGTTTCTGAAGATCTGCAAAGGTCCCCTCTGTGATATAATCTATCAAATTATGATCCAAACTAATCTGGTGCAAGTTTATCATCTTCATTATGGATTCCCAAGGGATGCTTCTGAGGTTATTATAAGAAAGATCCAGATCTTCTAAGGTAAATAGAAACTCTTCAAAAGCATCATCTGAAATATAATTTAGTTGGTTGTTGTTTAGAATCAAGTGCTGAAGGTTAATCAAGCCCCTCAAAATGTCCTCCCCAATTTCAGGCAACCTATTACTGTCTAAATGCAAAGATCGTAGGCTTTCTAAATCAACAAAAGAATAGGGCTGGATGTAACTGATGGTATTCCTAGACAATGTGAGGTCAACAAGGCCAGTCATGTTGGCAAAATCCTGCCTGCTGATGTTAATAATAAAGTTGCCCCCAAGTCGAAGTTCAACAGTCCTCCTGTCTATGTTTGGTGGAACAAAAAGAAGTCCCTTTGAAGGGCAGAGTGTTCCCAGCGACTCAGACAGATTTTGACAAACACAGTATTTTGGACAGGCGTTGACTGCAACAACCACTCCAAACACCAGGATGCTGCAGAACAGTTTTTCCATGGTAAATCAACGATGGGGCCTGCAAGAACGAGAAACAGTTACACTTTAGAGAATTGCTTTCATGCCTATATATATAAAAAATAAAAGAAACCCTAAAGCAGCACATTTTAAAATCTAGTGGCATCTGAAGTATTATTTTACCAAGTAGGATATGAGCAATCTAAGCATATACAGGATTATGTTTCATGGCTCTTTTCCAGATACTGTTGTTGGTACTTTTAGGAAAGATTAAATCTGCTGCTTTTTCTGTATATTGACACAAATGGCATCTCTTTTATTCTGAGAACTATTCCTTATTTAGCTAATCATATAATACTATTTCAGCTGGAGAGTGCAAACCAGGGGTGAAATCCAGCAGGTTTTTTTTTTTTTTTGATTTACATGCCGCCCTTCTCCGGAGACTCAGGGCGGCTTACAGTGCGTTAAGCAATAGCCTTCATACTTTTGTATATTTATACAAAGTCAGCTTATTGCCCCCACAAACTGGGTCCTCATTTAACCTACCTTAGAAAGGATGGAAGGCTGAGTCAACCTTGAGCCTGATGAGATTCGAACCTGCAGAAATTGCAGGCAGCTGTGTTAATAACAGGGTGCATTAAACCACTGTACTACCAAGGCTCCTTTCTGACAGGTTCTGGAGAACCGGTAGCGGAAATTTTGAGTAGTTTGGAGAACCGGCAAATACCACCTCCGGCTGGCCCCAGAGTGGGGTGGGAATGGGGATTTTGCAGTATCCTTCCCCTGCGACACCCACCAAGCCACACCATGCCCACCAAGCCACGCCCACAAAACCCGTAGTAAAAACATTTGGCTTTCACCACTGGTGCAAACTCCTTTTTGGGGGGGCGGGGAAACCTTATGCTTATTTAACTCCTTGCAAACATCTCTGGGTTGGAAAAAGCTCAGAAGTCATTTGACGGTTCACTTGCAGTGTATTCCAAACTCCAAGCAGACCTGGAGCAAATTTAAGACCAAGATAGGACACCCCACACACACACACACACACCGACTACATGCACACAAAACGTGAATTGCCCCTCCCCAAATGTATTAGTGTCAGGAAATGTTTATTTAAATGCCTTCCATTACATATGAAAGGAGGGCTCAGGGAAGGGTTCTTTTGTGTGTGATTGTGAGAAGATCACATTGAGTAGGAAATTGCTGCAAAGAAGACAAGACTGCATCAAACACGTTGAGGAGGCCAGATTTTTCTTTTTCATATTTGGGTGAGAAAGATTTGTAACCTTTTTTTTTAAGGGCAATTGTAGTACTTAAGTTACAGTTTTGGGGTGTTCTGAATCTTCACATGATGGAAACTTGTGTCATCAGAGATCATCACTTGTGGTAAGAATGAGCTTTAAGAGCCAATATGGAAGTGGACCTGTAAGAAAATCAAGGCATTTTGGATAAAAATTTGGTGGGTGATGCAGAATATTTTGAAAAGGTTGAAATTTACTCCTCAATTGTTCCTACTGGGTATAACTACGGACTGTACAGTATTAGAGACTAAATTGATTTTGAATCTAATATCAGCAGCTAGGCTGTTGGTAGCGCAATACTGGAAGAAGGACTCTTTGCCTACTATTGAAGAGTGGATACTGAAAGTAACGAACCTAGCAGAAATGGCGAAAATCTCAGCGTACTTGAAGGACTATACACAAGAATGATATATTTCGGAATGGAGAAGATGGATTGACTATATTCAAAATAAGTATCAGACAAGAAAATATCATATAGCTTATGATTGAACATTAAGTATTAGAGGTATTTAGTTATCTATGGTGAAGTTAAGGTTTCAGGGGGGGAGTTAGTAGTCTGAGGATAAGTAGGTTAATCTAGTTTATGATTGTTAAATGAAACACCTTGTATTTTGCTCTGGGAAGTCTGGGGGGAGGGTGGGATGATGGGAGGAAAAGGGTGGGGGGAATAGGGGAGGGAAGAAAATTTTTGTTTTTTGTAAAACTTTTTAATAATAATAAAAAAAGAGCCAATATGGAAGGATTAGGAGAGAAGAAAGAAAGGAGGATTTAGTGGATCCCGACTTTCACTTTCAAACAACTTGGTTCAAGTAACTAAGAAAGTTACTTTAGCATGTATATTTAATTCTTTCAGTCACTAAGTGCACTAAGGAATTAGCCATAAGATCACACAGTGGTCAGATTTACTGTCCATTACACACATCTTTAAATGGGATGCGGTGGCTCAGTGGCTAAGACTCTGAGCTTGTCGATCAAAAGGTCGGCAGTTCAGCAGTTCGAATCCCTAGTGCCACGTAATGGGGTGAGCTCCTGTTATTTGTCCCAGCTTCTGCCAACCTAGCAATTGCACATAAAAAATGCAAGTAGAAAAATAGGCACCACCTTTGATAGGAAGGTAGCAGCACTCTGAGTGCCTTTGGCATTTAGTCATGCTGGTCACATGACTACAGAGATGTCTTCGGACAGCACTGGCTCTTCGGCTTTGAAATGGAGATGAGCACTGCCCCCTAGAGTTTGGAATGACTAGCACATATGTGCGAGGGGAACCTCTACTTTTACCTTACACACATCTTTGCTTCAGTAGCTGAATGGTTCCTATGCATTTAGTCCTATGCACTTATTTATTAACAATATTAGCAACAGCAACACCACTTAGAATTATATACCACTTCATAGTGCTTTACAGCCCTTTCTAAGTGGTGTACAGAGTCAGCATATCCCCAACAATCTGGGTCCTCATTTTATTGATCTCAGAAGGATGAAAGGCTGAGTCAACCTTGAGCCAGTCATGATTGAACTCCTGGCTGTGAGCAGAGTTAGCCTGCAATACTGCACCATCGCGGCTCTTAATTGATCATCTTTTCCCTAGTTCCAAAGGATACTGAGGTGGTAAACAGCTAAAAAACATCAGCTATACAGATATATTCTGTATATGTAGACAGTTCAGATTATAAAAAATAATAGTAACACTATGTAATAATAGCCATGTAATTAAATAATGAATCTATAACTAGGAAAAAAGGACTTCTTTTTCTCTTTTGACATGCTAATACTCTGCAGAAGTAAGTTAAAACAAGAAAAGGTCATATAACAAGTAGGGTAGCATAGCCTTCTTCATGTTTGAGATAATTAGTTTTATGATGAAGGATTCTGCACAAGTATAAATCTAGAAATAGACTATCTCAGAACAAGCTAGACTTTTTCAGAAATGATTTTTTTTTTTTTGAAAAATAACTTCTTAGCAAAATATTGAAACAGTAACCTTTTGCTTTTGTTGCATTTGAATCAGAGGCTCCTAGTACTAAGAATTTGATTATAGCAGCCCTTGAGATTTGCTGAACTTGGAGAATTCCTACTAATGTCCATTTCCAGAACAAGACAGTTCACAACTGCAAAGCAATGCAATGCAACACAACTTCCCTTCTTTTTATATATCATGATGCGACCTATGAAGAGGTAATCTCCTAGAAATGTTTGTACTGTAAGAATTTTTCTGCTCACAATTGTTTAGCTCTTAGTTCATTAAGTGCAATGGAGGCGGAAGGGGAGTGGGAGGAGGAGGGGAGGAGGAGGAGGAGGAGGAGGAGGAGGAGGAGGAGGAGGAAGAGGAGGAGGAGGAGGAGGAAGAAGAAGAAGAAGAAGAAGAAGAAGAAGAAGAAGAAGAAGAAGAAGAAGAAGAAGAAGAAGAAGAAGAAGAAGAAGAAGAAGAAGAATCCCATTGTGTTCAACCCTGCAAATAAATAGAGGACAATTCAAGCCTATGATTAGCTTTACCTTCTCTTATAAAGTAGAATCCTGTGGCTTTGTAACCATGCTGTTTATGCAAATCTCTGTTACAGTTAGCAAAGCTTTGAGCGTTGTATTTATTCATTAGTAACAGACAGTGGGCTTTTGGAATCTTAAGTATAATTATATTCTGCAGCTTTAGTTTAGTGTGCTATCCTAGAAGCTGCAACTATAAACAAATAGACAAAAAAGGCTTTAGAAAACAATTTGAGAAAGCGTTTGATACAATTAATTAGCAATGTGCAAAGATTTCTTTACCTACTCCTTCCCCTATTGCCTAGCTCAAATTTGATTTTTTTTCCCAAGGTTTTTGTGTAGTTTCTCCTTTTAGCGTGTTCTATTTCCCCAATTACCATTTGGGGAGGATGCTGTTATGTTTCACTGCACTCCTGAGAGCAAGTTGAGATCAAGAAGCATAATTGAGGAGTAGTAATTGAACATAGTTATGGGAGATAGGTAACAATATCAAAGAAAGGACATCTTAAATTATGTTTATAACTTCTAATACCTAGGAATTAAGTTTTCCAGGTGTATGTATGAAAGAGCAAGAGTCTCTGCGTCAGTGGTGGGATTCAAATTTTTTTACCCAGTTCTGTGGGTGTGGCTTGGTGGGCGTGGCAGGGGAAGGATACTGTAAAATCTCCATTCCCTCCCCACCCTAAGGGAAGGTTACTGCAAAATCCCCATTTCCTCCCAATCAGCTGGGACTAGAGAGACAGAGAATAGATGGGGGCGGGCCAGTCAGAGGTGGTACTTACTGGTTCTCTGACTACTCAAAATTTCCGCTACCAGTTCTCCAAAACTGGCAGAACCTGCTGAATACCACCTCTGCTCTGCATATTATGAAAGTTACACAAATACGAATGGTGCCTTCTGTTCTCTTTTTGTGCTCATGATGCTGATCACTCTTTCCCAGAGAAAAACTTAAAGTGGATTTTGTTGAGTGGGACATTAAATATATGTGGAACTCTGTCACTGCTGCTTTGAGAGAACAAGTGCGTGCTCATAAAGGATTGGATTACATGGCTTCTAAAGTACTAAAGTTCCAACTCTATGCTTCTAAGTGTAAACCACACTTTCCACATATGTAAACTATAAAGGGGTTAAATAAACCCTTTCACCTCTCTGCAGTTCTACGAGATACATTGAAAACAAATGCAACCAGTCCCAAGAACAGAAAACATTGCCTGAGTGGGGGGAAAAAACTAAAGAGAAACATGAGCAATGCCTCCTGAAACATCTCTGATCATTTCTA